CTCTTAGAAGTATTGGAGAAGCTGCAATAACTCTATCTGTGGTAGCGTTGGGGTGATGTGTGGCTGTGATGATCCCAGATACGTGCGAGAGGCAAGGATTTTTATGAGTGATATCTTTTATGCAGTTGGGTAACATACAGTACATAGTTGATCCACTAAAAGGTAACCTACTATGCAGATTGTTCAGAACAAAAAAGATATCACCCGCAAAAAAAATCCTTGCCTCCTGCAATGAATCCATTTTTGTCAGCTTAACTCAAGATAAAAAGCAGTTACCTCAACAAAAACTGGTTCTTTGGCACACGCTATCCCTATATCTCCCACTTCTGGTCTGCAGGCACGCTATGTGTGAGAGATGGAAATCTTCATGAACAACAGCATACAAGGGGGCTATGCCCTCCTATGCCCCACCGCTGAGGATTTAAAGGGCACAGGAACTTATGCTGCTACAACTGGATCCAGTTTTGCTACGACCTGCTACAATCTTCCACCTTTGTTACTTGCAGTACCGTTTGGTTACAACTTGCTACAACCCTTTTTACTCCACCTGGATCCTGTTTTGCTCCACCTGGATCCTGACAGACTTTCTGGGAGCGAGAGGAAGGAAGCTGGTTCACAGAATATATATGGATAGTGCGCCTTGAAGAGCTATGGGTATCGTGGGGTCAGTAAATGTTAGTTGTCCTTTGAGTAACTGTCCCCTTCTAGTGACTCGCAGGCAGAAACGTGTGCTGGATGAGGGGTCTACTGAAACGACTGCTCACGCAAGAGCTTGGGAAGCATGAGGTTTGAAGAAAACTGGCAGGTAGATCAATGTGAAAGTCAGAGACCACTTTATCACAAGAACTCCGGCAGAATCTTGAAAGAGAGACCCTTTGTCCTTGGGGTAGTAGTCAATGGCTTTATGCCTAGCTGGCAGCCGGTATCAAGTGGATCGCCCCAGGGGTTGGTCCTGGGGTTGGTTTTGTTCAATATCTTCATTAACGATCTGGAAGGTGGCACAGAGTGCACCCTCAGCACGTTTGCAGATGACACCAAACTGGGGGAAGTAGATACACTGGAGGGTAGGGCTAGGATTCAGAGTGACCTAGATATGTTGTAGGATTGGGACAAAAGAAATCTCATGAGGTTCAACAAGGACAAGTGTAAGGTCCTGCACTGAGGAGGGACCAATCCTGGGCTGGGCAGCAGCTTTGCAGAAAAGGACCTGGGGGGACAGAGGACAAGAAGCTGAACAGGAGCCAGCAGTGTGTCCTTGGTGCCAAGAAGGCTACCAGCATCTTGGGCTGTATTGGTAGGAGAACTGCCAGCCAACTGAGGGCAGTGATTCTTCCCCTCTATTCGGCACTGGGGAGGCCACATCAGGAGTCCTGTGTCCAGTTGTGGGCCCCGCACTACGGAAAGGATGTGGACACACTGGAGAGAGGCCAGCAGAGGGCAACAAAAATGGTTCAGGGCCTGGGGCACATGACTTGTGAGGAGAGGCTGAGGGAACTGGGCTGATTGAGTCTGCAGAAGAGAAGATGGAGGGGGATTGAACAGGAGCCTTCACCCCCCTGCAGGGGGGCTGCAAAGGGGATGGAGCTGGGCTGTTCTCAGTGGGGGCAGATGATAGGACAAGGAGCAATGGGCTCAGGCTGCAGCAAGAGAAGTTGAGGTTGCATATTAAGAAAAATGTTCTCACTAGGAGGGTAGTAAACCACTGGAACAGGTCACCCAGACAGGTGGTGCAGTCTCCATCCTCGGAGGTGGTTAAGGCCTGGGTACACAAAGCCTTGTCTAGGATGATGCAGTTGGGGCTGGTCCTGCTTTGAGCAGGGGGTTGGACTAGATGCAACCTCCTGAGGTCCTGCCCAGACCTCATTTTCTGTGATTCTATGATGCTCTAAAAATTGATGCTGCTGCAATGGCCTGAATCCCTTTACTTCTTCTAACTTGCTGCATACTCTTCTCATTTTCTTGGTCTGAATGCCCAGCCCTGCTTTCCTTTTCACAGCTCGTCTGGAGCAACAAAACACTCTGACCTTAGAGGCTCAGTTATTAAGATTATATTGAGATTGGGGGGGGGAAGGGGTTAAACGCCTTAGTTAAGCTTGATGGGCTGGTTATTTAGTAGGTATAAATTTGTCCACTTATGGTGAGGGGAGAGGAGTTGGGCTGATTTGCAGCTACTGAAGATCACCCCTGAATACTCACCCCAATCACTGTTTTCCAGAGGGCTGCATTAAACCCTAATTTCCTTGATATTTTGGGCACTCTTTGGACTTGGATTTGTAGAAACTAAATAGCAAGCCCTCCACTCACAGCAGAGAAGACTGTCACCTGTCCTTTTACCACCCTCCCATAGATGCCCACCCTCAGCCAATGTTTGAGGAAGAACTACAGGGTAAAGGAACAGGTAAACCTCATGCCATGCCTTCAGGAGGACCCAATGTGGGTTTGGTGAAGATTCACTGCCAACCTCAGTGAAAGCCTAGCATAATCTCTCTGTCGACTAGGGGTTGCATTCAGTGTAAGCCTAAAAGTAATTGTATTCCTCTAGGTTTATTACTGTATGGACATGTATTTTCGTTGAGCATTACAAGCGGTATTTTAGGTAGTTTTCTAAGTGCTGTGATATTTAACCGTTCCCTGTTCCAATTACTTCCTGGAGCTGAATTTCATGGCACCGCACAAAGAGAACAGTTTTTCCTAATGCCAAGTGCAAAGTCTTCTCGCCATATGTAAGGTCATTTAATAGGAACAATGCAACTTAATAACCTCCCACTTGGCTCTCTCAAAGAAACAGGGAGATGGTGCTCCCTCAGCCCAGCTGTTCCCTTTCACTCAGTCATGCTGTCAAGCTGACAGACAGCAGAATTTGGCTGGCGGGCCTGGGCTGGATCGCTCTGTGATGTCATGCAGAGAAGCATCACTTCCTTGCAGGGTTCACAGAGGGGAAAAGCAGGCTGTAGGGGGGAAGGTGCTCTGGCACACGGCAGCATCAGTACACAGCAGTGACGAGCGGACTGGAAGCAGATCAGTTTTGTTTCCAAGTTTCACCTGCAGGGGAAAAGTCCGCCTATAAAGCAGCAGGTGGAAGTTAAGATGGGGAAAGCCCTGGCTTTCAACTGCATAATCTGACCACTTAGCATAATTTAGGTTCCCGTTCCAGTTTGCTCAACAGCCCCTTATCAGCAGGTACGTTCCCCTACCGGCAGCTGCACAATGGATCAAGACAATCTCAGCTCTTGGCATGAAAAGGGTTACGTCTGAGCCTGCTATTAGGGCAGCCCGAAAAGTGCAAGAGGGAGCAAAGTGAACATCATGCTCTTCACCAGCTGTTCCAAACTTATGAGATGCCAAGTACCACAAGAGGAGTTTGGCGAGAGCTCAGGAGGATTTCAGCGGAGGATTAAACGCCTCTTATTGCAAATCTGACCCTTTAACTAGACACACAGCCCAATTAAAGTATCACAAGAGGACAGCGCAGGAAGTGATACTTGCCAGCTCTTCGCACACCAAAACTGCCTGAGTAACCCGAGTCGTTGATTAGGATTGTGCCCCTGAGATGCTGAGGATTAAAGACAATGCAGAATAAAGGCTTTGCAATATCCCTCTTCAGTAGTTCATAGCATTCAGCATCAGAGGCAGCACAATTCCAGGAGATGCTGGCACAGCCCATTCTGGTTATCTAATGTCTGCAGGTACCAAGGGAATTAAGACAACGACCTTGGCGTGAACTGAGACGACCGTGTGCAGAGCGCTGCGGCGGGAGCCTGCCTTACCTGATGGTGTTATCGGAGGAGCCGCTCACCACTAGCCGGTCTCTGTATTGCAGGCACGCGATGCCTCGTTTGTGTCCATTTAAGGTGCGCACAAATTCGCAGGTACTCGTGTTCCAGACCTGTGATGGGGAGTGGGGGAAGGAAACCCACACAGGGACTAATTATTAAGAGGTAACTAACAGAAGCAGGTACCTGCTGTGTGGGAAATGAGTACATCCACCAGGTTCAAAGCTATGATGCTGGGGTCACAGTCAAATTCAAGATGTTATTGTTAACAGAGAGAAAATTGCCTTTCCAATGACATTTGGCTATGGGCTTCAACACTTAATAGTTTAGGTCCCTTTTAAGAGAGGTTTTTTTTGGTTTTTTTTTACACTGAATTTTATCAAAGCTAGTCCCTTAGTCTCAGCACTCTCAACCCGAGCCTCACTTTATGAACTGGATTTTTCCTAAGCTTTAACATCCCAGTTGTATGTTCTAGGGGATCTGCTCATTACTCTTGGTTAATAATAAAAAGCCTTTGTCACTTCTCACCTTTATAGTCCTATCACCCGACGCTGATACAATATACTTGTCATCGAAGTCCACTACATTGACGGCGGCCCTGTGTCCGACCAGGACCCTTCTCAGGGTAATGTCTGTTGGAGACGCCATATCCCAGACGGCGATGGACCGGTCTTTGGAGCACGTCACCATCATGCCGTTGTTGAAGCGCAGGTGCAGCACTGCTTCGCAGTGGTGAATCAGTGTGTTCAGCATCTCGCCTGTATTGACATCCCATACCCTGGATTCACAGTCATGTGAGAGGTTGGGGTGGAGGGAAGAACACGGTAAGTTTTTCAGCAGAATGCAAGAGACAGACTATCTCTGGCTGCATTACAAGCATTTAACTTGAGCTACACTGAGAATCTACTGAATATATTATGGGGAGACGTATTCTATAAACCTGTTGATTACCAATACGTTCAAGGAGTCCGGCAGCCAAAAACCTGCAATGCAGTTAGTGCCATAAAACAACCCAGCTGGAATAAACCATTGTATAATTAAGTGAATTTAGTGCCAATGAAGGTAGCAGATTGACAGCCCTGGAGACTGAAGCTCCCTGTTATCAAAGCCTGCAGCGCACATCTCATCTAGGCATCTTTTCCTTGACCTGCAGGGTAGAGGCAAGATCACTTGAAGTGGCCTGTTTAATCTTTGGTCTCTCTCTGCTGGGACTGTCAACAAGACAGATAGTTTTAAGACAGCAGGAGATCAGACCATGCTTTTGTGTTCTGAACGAATCCAAAAGGGCCTGTCAAGAGCGATATAACGAGGTTGAATCAGGTCCTAATGGAAGCAGAGCATTTACCTTGCGCACATCTGTACTTAGACAACTATATTCCTGGAATGCGTGTGGATGGTGCACAGAGTTTTCCCAGTTAATTTGCTGTGAATACGAATAGCCTATTACACTCCAAGGATCATTTGTAGTTAAAAAAAAAAAAAAATCCAGGTACCTGCTCAATGGAAGCAGCTCCTAGGATTTGTGTGGTGCACTTTAAAGTGAAAAAAAAATGGCAACGTTCCTTTGCTGCATCCTGTTTGCCAAGCTCACCTCAAGGCAAATTTCTTTACAGAGGTTTCCTGTGGCGCTATCATGCCCTGAGCCCCAGCTACGCTAAACTCCAGCGGCATAACGGCTGCATCATCAAATAGCAAGAGATTCTGGAAATTGAGTCCCTCCTCCCTTAACGAAGCTTGCAATTAAAACCGGCAGGGATGTCAGGGAGGGGAGAAAAGTCTTTGTGCAACCCAAACGGTTATGTTGTATGCTCCAGTCTCGCTGCCCCTTCTGCTTTGTGTGCTTGTCTGCAGAAGCTGGGCTGCCTCTGTATCTTGGGGACCGCTTGAAGACTGCCTGCTGACAGCCGTTCACCCTTGCTGGACCCACTGGAGCACCCTTACTGCCTCAGAGCCAGCCTGCTTTGAAAAAGCAGAGAGGCACCTGCCATTTGGTGCCTTCCACAGGGACAAAACCTGCTCTACCCATGCCAAAAAGTGAAGTCGCTACTCCCAAGAGACATTTAAACAGCAGCAGAGTCCAGCAACAAGGATGACTCCACCAGAAGCCAAAATGTGCTTCCTCTGCCTCTGCTTACCTCTGGAAATGCTACAGAAAAATAAGATGCATGACCAATCTTGCAGGCGCACCTTCATCCTGCCCATTCTTTTAAGCCCAAAGTACATCTCTACGGTCCCACCCCAGCAAACCCCACTCTGCTTGCATGCCTGTCTGCAGCACCTACCACTCTATCCTTCAGACACTTGTGTTATAAGCATGCAGTCACAAAACATGCCCGCTGCTCCCAAAGCATGCCCTAACACAGTGGGGTCCAACCTTTTTCCCCAGTGGGATGGATGGGCAGTGCTTTGTCTGTCTGCAGGCTGGATCTGGCTGATGGCTCTGATCCGGCACCTGGGGCAGGTGCAGTGGGGCCCCATCAGGCCACATGGAGGGGGTAGGGAGGCAGCCTGGACCTGATCCAGTCATGTGGTGGAAGAGGGTTTGACCTGGCCCAGCCTGGCTGCATGTGGTTGGTAATTTGGCAGTGGAAAGGAGTGGCAGTATTAACTGCGGCAGCTCCCCCACTGCCAAATTTCCCGACCTGTGGGGAACTCCGTGGGCCAGATGCTATGGCTCTGCCAGCTGGATTTGGCCCACAGGCTGGAGGCTGAGCACCCTGATCCTAACCTAATGAAATAACCCCAGAGCACTGTTCCACCCTGTTACCCATCAGTGCCAGGGAAGCAAGGAACACTTGCCTTGGACTCTTTCTGTGCCCTTCCTCACCTCTCCTCCCTTCCTTTCGCCCATGATTTCCCGCCTGTGCCAAATTTGGATTCGCCCATCCCTGCACCCCCGGTTCCCCAGGCCAAACCTACATCATCTCCAGGCCCTGCCAGGACTGCTGCATGACCTGCCCATGTGCAAGTCAAATCCTGGAAAGGAAGAAATGCAGCTAGTGCACAGTGGCTCTGAGCACCAGAACTGCTCCCAGGCCCCCCGGCTTGGCTGTGCTTCTGGCTGTGTGCTGCTTTGAGCTACCACACTGCCCCTCTTTCAGAGTTTGGCATGTGCTGAGTGGGAACAAGTAGATGTGGCATCAGCAGTGGCATGGACATGGCCTCAGCTTCTCCACTCCATTAAAGGAAGCAACTGCTTTGGGGTGCGACTCCCAAAGGCCTCTGGAAGCAGTGAGGAGCAGCAAAGCCGAGCAGCAGCTGAAGGAGGGGCGGCAAGAGCCTATCATGGGGGCCTTTTAACCAGCTACTGGAAAGCGTGAAGCTTTCTGTGGTAGCCCTGGGGTGCCTGACTGTGTGTACGTGCCTTTCTTTCTGGTTGCAAATAGCTTATTTTTTATTGCAGGTCACAGAGTGCAGGGGCCAGCATCTAGGCAATGGGGCTCTGGGTATGAATCTCAGGCATCAGTCACAAATGCCGGGAAGGATCTAATACTGGTGTATGGACTGGTGGATAAAATCACCACTATGACAGCCAGGACAGAGAGAGGAGGTAAGCTATCTTTTTGCATAAACAATTACGTGGCCATCATGAAGTTGCAGGCTATGCAGAAAGACACCAGGCTTAAAATGGACGGCTGGTGGAAAGCGCAGAGACTTCTGCCTGCAGTATGCAGAGAAGCGAGGGCTGTAGACAAAAGAGCTGAGCCATTAGAAAATCAGCAGTGTGCAGATGGGGCTGCCAAACAGAGCGGGGGAGGGAGGTAGAGTGATGTGTCTGGACAAGGGGGTCCCTGAAACCGGGGACAGGAGGGATAAGAGTCCGTCCATACATCCAACTGGCAGAATTGGACTGAGCCTTCCTCCTCCTCCTCCTCGTCAAGACTAAAGAGTTTTCTGCAACGTGCCTCGGGGGGTCCAGGGACATATTTATAGATACAAAGGGAAACGAAGTACTCTGGGCAAGTAGCCAGCCTCCAATTTGGCCTGCTAGCTATGGCCTGGAGACTGACAACTGCTTTTCACCCAGTTCAGCCTTTTCCTTTGCGAGTCAGTGTTTAGCACAGTGCAGTCCCACCCCGTCTCCGTGCTGATTAATTTCTACAGCCAGATCTCCTGGAGACACGCAACATAAATTGTGGTCTCGTACGTATGGCAGGAACCAACAGACCTCCCAGAGCCACGAGATTGTGTAACACCATGGGCGAGAGCTGGATTGCAGAGTTATTGGCTTCTCACTACGATTTCAAAATGAGCTTGGGTGACAGCTCTCAGCAGGCTGCAGCCATGCGAACAGGAACCCAGATGCAACTGTTGCCGGAAAGGCTCAGACTCAGGGTAGAGCAGAGACCTACCAGTAGAGAGAACCCCAATCCCCTAACCAAGGCACCCTTCCCTCTTCCCCTGCCACAGGGAGACCAGGTCCCATGCTACCTTAATACACTGAGTCCCTAATCACCAAACATACAGGCATTTCCATGGCACAGTCCTTAATTTCCTTAAGTGAAATGTTTACAGCTATGGACACTGGCCTCCTGACCTAGGACTAGCGACTTTCACATCTGGAGAATAGCTTCTGATGCATCAGTCTGGCCTTGGTGGGGACACAATGACCAAGGTCATGCAGACACAGTGAGGAGGACATTGGGTTGAGAGAATTATCTGGGTAATTCTGGCAGCCTGGCTACAAATCTTCTGCTAAAATTAAGAGAAGATGAATGATGAAACCCTCTGTATTGCTTGGAAAATTTCAGCCACTGTTTTTAAACAGAATGTTAGTCAAACGCAGAGCAGTCACTCTAGCTCATCTTAGAAACCCCCAGCCCTTCCTGAACTAACCATTTCCCCTCGGTAGCTGTGGCAGCTCGAGGGGACACTGGCTGTTACACGACCCAGGTGCTCTCAGGTGGAAAGGTTTGCAAACCACATCCTCAAAACGGCCAAATGGAGCATGTTTAATTGAAACCTTTTCAGTGCCAGGTGAAGCGGGACTGTGAGGGTCAAATGCAGAAGCACATACCTGACGGTCGAGTCCGAGGAGCCAGTAATGATCACCCGCTCATCATACTGCAGGCACAGCACAGAACCCGTGTGTCCGGTCAGGATGCGCTTGCATTCCAGCGTATTCTTATCCCAGATCTAGGACAGCCAATGTTCACAAACAGCTTGTTAAGTAAGATTTTCATCACTGGGTAAACGATGCATGTTGCTGGGCTGGCTCTTTTGTTTTTTTATTACCGAGTGTTTTACCCATATTGCAGGCAGAACTTCCTTAGTGGCAAGGAACGCACTTTGTATTCCACAGGCGCTTTGGTGAGAGATAAAACACTCTTAATATCTCTGGTTTTAATATGAATACAGGCTTTACCCTTCTCATCAGGGAACAGGGGTAGCCTGTAATTACTGGAGGACCAATAACACTGCCAGTAAAGTCCATTCTGGAAGGAGGCAGAGAATTTCTTGCCAGATAAGTTAGACTGATGCACATTTCTGGAGGGAGGTTTATCTACCAGCACCAAAGAAAAGCACACCCGGGGTGGAAAGCTGTCTAAGGAAGTCTCTGGGCAGCTGCTCCGTCCTTTACTGGAATGAGGACAGAAGCCTTATTCCCGGAGCGGGCTGTACCCGCCCCAGCACTGCCGCCCCGGGGAAAGCTCACCTTGATGGTATTGTCACGGAGGCCACTGACTATCTTCTGATCGTCGTACTGTAAACAATAAACCCCTTTACTGGTTTCGCTCCGACAGTGGATTCTCTGTAAACTGTGCCTTCCGCACCGCCAGTTGGACTCGATCGTCTGGGTTGGGGAGGAGAGAAGAAAAACAGCGATAATAAATCGTGGAGCTGTTTTTTTGTTTGTTTTTTTTTAATTAGAGAAAATACTTCCTTTTAAACATCTCCCTCCAGAAAGGGCCATTAGACTACATTGCAATCTCCCCAGGGGAGCAGCAATGGTGGCAGAGTTCTGGCTATGGCTGCTTAGCATGGCACAAAGCACTGGAAAATAGGCTGCAGCAAAAGGGCTTGTATTGCTCCCTGGAAAAGTGGATGAGAGATTTCTAACGTCTCTGGATCCGGTGGATCCTTTTGGACTCTGAAGAACAAAAGCCACTGTGTAATGGAGCAGATCCCAATCACCCTGGCACAGAGCTCTCAACCTTGTTCGGCTCAAAGCACCCCTCGTTAGACACAAAGCAGCCCCCCTTAGACTTGAGGCACCCCTCGGAAAATGCCAGCTCTTAGTTTTCACTCATTTTTTAAAGCTGGAAAAATAATACAGCAATTTTTCTGCTGCAAGGAACTCAGGAAGACCCCAACAGGGCAGCATTTTTTTTTAATGCTATGGATTCTTATTTGAAATCACTGGGTTTATTTTGTGAATCATATTTGCATGCCTGGTTGAGAATTGCTGCCCTAGCACCTGAGCACCTCTCTTGCAAGTGAGCCAAGCACAGACAGGAGTTGGTACCTTGCACATAACTATATCTAGGGCACCAGTCCTATGTGTTTGATGCTGTTCACTACAAGCCCTATGGACTGCTGTCTCCAACAGTGCATTCTTTCCCAGATTCAACTCATGGCATGCACAGACACTGGCTCTTAACTCATAGACTTAACCCTCGTTGTTCCCAGGCTATTTTACTCCTGGAGCAGTCATTTTTACTCTGGGAGAAGAAGCCAGAACATCTGGACACTCCTGGTTTCTCCTGGGAGGGCAATGGCTCTCCCAGGAGAGACTGAATGCCTGTACAAGGCCTCTGTCAACTTACTAAGGTCTCATAAGTTCTGCCCTGGGTTAAAAGCTATGGAACCGAACCAGAAATAAGCCATGAACTCTGCCCAGCTGCTGCTAGGGCATCACAAGTGTGGGCAGCTTCAGTGTTAACATGTCTGACAGAATAGCTTGATTCACATGGAGGAGGAAGGAAGGCAGCACAAAATGTTTTCCAAGAGCCCCTGATCTCAGGGGTTCTGCACGTATCATGTGCATAGCACAACCAACATTTAACATTGATTTGAGGACGCAGGGATGGTTAACACAAAATCAGAAAACTTAATGAAAGCCCACCACAAAATAAAGCTGTGTTTCTTACCTCTATGTCCTGTATAATTTTGGGATAAAGTGCTCTATAGAAGGAGTTGGGTGGGGCATTGCCATCGGGAGGCTTGTTTTTAAATAGATACTGTCCCCTGGAAAAGAAGGAACACGGTTGCAGCAGGTTTGGGCAAAGGTTTCTAAGGCGTTTTACAGAAGTGGGTCTGGAGCTGTTTGTCAGCATAGGGGACATATTAGCACTCGGATTTGGCTTGTTCAACTCAGGTACCACCTGACCCAAGCATGATGGCAAGTACCGGCAGATTCCTAAACAGACACTAGCAGGCACTAAAGGAAGAGGGGATGTGTTGTACATATAGGGCAGGAGTTGCTTTCACCTAAGAGGAAGGCAACAGTGGCTCATATAGCCCCAGCTTGGTTACCTATAGCATGTGGCCTTTAAAAGAAAGTCCATGAAGGAAGAAAACTAAGAAAGCCGAGGGACCCCCATGCTGTCACCTGCTGAAAGCTACTTTGGCAGGACTGACATCTGTTTTGGTTCGTGGACGTTTTACTGCCGCTACTCGATTCTGGGAAAGCACCGTTTCATCAGTGGCTCCCGTCCTCGTTTCAACCCCGATTTGGAATACACAGATCCCAAGCTAGATTTTTGCTACAAAAAAATCCCGTAAACGGCAATCACTTCCTGCTGTGTAAAAAACTTTAATTCCTCATCCTGAAGTTAAGAAGCCACCAAACACGGTGTGGAAGCTAGTAAACCCCACCATGGGCGTACTAACTGCTGCTTTGCCTGGCAACATGCCTCGCAAAGTGGAGATAGGCACAAATGCCTCTGAGTGTAATCCTGGCATCAGAGGCATGGAGTTTATGCTGGGCCAGCTCTCTGCTCCTCCCTCCATTGCTCCATTACAGTGTAATTAATTGTTCCAAACCTCCACGTGCATCTCTTTCCTGGCCCTTCCGCTCGCTACACCTTGAAACCAAGTTGAGGGCTTGTGCCTTAGATGTGCTGACAGAAAATCCAGCCCCGTACAAGCAACTGATGGGCACACAAGGAGGATGGCTTATTTCAACGCCACGGGCAAATTAATTTCAAGCAAGTTTTGAGGCCGAATTGGCTTCTGCTTGGGAATTTTCAGGGATTTAAAAAAAAAAAAAAAAAAAGTGTCTCAGCTCTCAAGCCCTTGAATGTGCACATGTGTGCAAGTAGGTAGTTGTGCTCGTGGGTCCCATTCACAGCAGGCTGATGCTGGCACGGCATTCAGG